CAGGCAATCCACTCACCTCAGCCTCCCATGGCACGGGATTACAGGCTGAGCCACCGAGCCTGGCTGGGGAGGAATCTTCAGGCCAGCCCTGAGGCCCTGACCTGACATCCTGCCCAGTGTACCCTGGGATGCCTGGGTGGGGGCTTTGGAGATCGAGTCTAAGGAGGCTTCCCTTGACGCTGGCAACCCTGGCGTGGCTCCGCTTTCCCGCACCCTCTCCTGGTGACAGTGGCTGTGCTGTTGTCTCCCATTCTCCTCTGACCAGCCCTTCCTGTGTCTCCAGCACAGAGATCAAGTCCTCCGTCGTGGGGCGGCTGGGTTTCTGTCTCTTGGCGAGGGCCGGCCAATTTAGTGGAAGGCCACTTGCCTTGAGTGGGGAGGGCTGGGACTTAGCTTTCAATCTGCCACAAACTCTTTGTGTGGCTATGGACAAGTCACTTCCCCTCTCGGGTCTCAGCGTCTCCATCCATGAAATGGGCATCAGATGATCTGTGATTTTTTTGACCCTGTGCTCCCTTGTTCTCTGTCCTTTCTAGATCGAATGCTCCAGCATTTCTGACTACTCAGAGAAGATCATTAAGGCCAACCACTTGGACAACAGTAAGACCTTCCTCTGAGTATTTCCCATGGATGGAGGGGGTGGGGGCTTGCACTTTCTTGCTGGGGTGGCTTAGAGGGCAGCAGGCAGAGCACTTGGACTTGGGTAGGTAGAATGCTGGCCCAAGGCCCCCATTAGCAGGACGGTCCCGTGGTGCTGAGGTTCCCATGCCCACCATGCCAGCCAAGGGTTGCATTGGCCCCTTGCAGCTCCCAGCAGGTCCCGCCTGTGGCTGACCCCCTCTGCCTGGAGCCAGCTGCAGGCAGCTTGTTGAGTTCTGCAAAATGGTTCCATCCCTTCCTCTCCTCGCCCTCTCCACAAGCCCTAGGCCTTCGTGTCCCCACCATCTACCCAGTGGCAACCTGGCAGCCCCCAGGAGGTGTCCCTCCCCTGCCCACAAGCCCTGCTGCGACAGGGCTGTCTCGGCCACGAGGCTGCTCTTGGGAGTGGAATTTCAAGATGGAGTCTGATTGAGAGAGGGCGCCGCTTCCTCTCCTCCCCTCACCCCTTTCCCGTGACATGCCCTGGCCATCTCCTCTGGAGCCAGGTCCTTGGGCATGTGAATGCATGCTCAGTTGCCCACAGTCCCGGATTGAGAGACCTCCTTGCAGCTTTCACCTATCGGCAGGATGAGATGCGGTCCCCAGGCCCGTGCTCAGGGCTGGGGAGGACTTCAGAGGGGCAGGCTGGGCACCCAACCCCTGTGGACACAGTGGCCACTGCACTGGGCTGCAGCGAGCCTGGGAGAGGGACTGGTAGACAGGAAGTCACATTAGAGGGAGTGAGCTGGAGCCGGGTGACTGAGGGGCTGGGAGCAGTACTGGGACCTCGGAAGGGTCGGTTCCAAATGACAGCGCTCACGGGCAGTGTTCCGAAGTGTGAAAGGACTGAAGCTGGCAGGGTAGGACATTCCCTAGAGGAGGCTAGGGCAGGGGGAATGAGAAGCTGGAACAAGAGATCAGGAATCTGGTCCTTCCCAAAGGAGGCTGGGAGCGGAGGTCTTGTGTGCAGGCTCTGCAGAGTCCAAGGCGCTGAGGACTCAGCACAGCCTCCCCACTCTGTGCCGTGCCACCATCCGCTCCAGGAATAAAGTCCTTGCCGTGCTCCCTGCCAGCCTTCCAGACCTTCAGCTCCCCTGTAGGGAGCCTGCCACCCTGCTGCTCCTTTGGGGCGGACCTGAGTAGCCAGGTCCAGGTGGTACTTGCCCTCACACACGATGATGACGAACCTGTTTCCATGGGGCCTCTGTCTTGCCACCTGCCCTGTGTGCTGTGTGACCACTTGCTGTGGACTCTTTGAAAGGCAAGAGCATTGTTCATTCAGCAAACTTCTATGCGTGCCGCTGTGAGCCAGGCTCTGGGAATAGAGCGAGGGATGAGACAAAGTCCCCGACCTCATGGAATCATCACAGGGAGTGAGCTGGAGCCCAGACAGCTGGGGAGGGCTTTACGGAGAAGAAACAAAGACGCAGATGCCCAGAGACAGATATCAGGTGACGGCAAGTACTCTGCTGATTGTGGCGTAGGCTTGTAGGCTAGAGAGGGACAGGCCACATTAAACTCAGATTCGGATGGCAGGAGGGAGCCAGGCTGATGGCGGTCAGAGGAAGAGAATCCCAGACAGAAGACTCAGGCCTCTGGGCAGGGCTGAAATCAGCCTGCCCGAGGAGTACAAAGGTCTGTGGTCCAAACTCGAGGACCAGGGGCATCAGAGGAGCTGTGGGGTCGGATCACGGAGGGGGTTCGTAAGCCAGGTTGGATTTGATTCTCCGTGTGCATGAATCTTTTAAGTAAGGGCAGCGCCTTGTCTGTGGAGGATGGGCTGGAATGGGTGTCATGTAAGAAGAGGACAAGCAGACACGCACGGCCAGGCTGTTTAGGGCTCCGGAGAGATGTGTAGTGCAGGGACAGGGTGGCCGCGGAGGTGGAGAGGAGTGACCGTTGTGGCAGGTCCTTGAGGACGGAGGCCCGAGGGCCTGCTGACGGACTGGGCGTGGGAATGAGAGAGCAGAGAGGAGCAAGCGCTCATTCTTTTTTGGCTTGAGCGATGGGGTGGCTGGTGCCTGGCTGGAGGCGGAGCACCCATGGGGCGACGGGAGCGAGAGGGAAGTCAGAACTCTCTCCTGTCCATGCTGGGTTTGAGGTGCCCCTTGGACATCCAGGTAGATGAGAGTCAGACTGGGCGGGTGAGGCTGGAGGTTCAGGGAGAGTCAGACACTTAGGAGTCATCCACATGGAGGTGTTCTCTGAAGCCACAGTATGAGGCCACATAGCGAAAATGCATAGCTAGAGTGGAAAAATGGGCCAAAGATGGGAACTAGGGCATCTCAGCATTTGGGGGTCAGGCAGAGGAGAAGGGGCAGAGAAGATGGACATTCTGGAGTGTGGGCTCCCATGAGGCCCGGGAGTGTGGTGGACATTCTGGAGTGTGGGCTCCCATGAGGCCCGGGAAGGTGGAGATGGTCAGCTGCAGGGAAAACTCCGAGATCAAGTAAGAGAGGGACAGAGATGTGACCGTTGAATATGGCCTCATGGAGGTGTTCTTAACAAGTGCAGGTTCAGTGGAGGGGTGGCAGCAGGAGTCCAGTTGGAGAGGTCCAGGAGAGGCTGTGCTGTGAGGACCATAAACAACTCTTCTTGTGCTGGGAACAGAAAAATGGACCAGTGGCTATCAGGGATATAGGAAGAAGGGAGGAAGCTGATTTTTCTTTAAAAATTAGGAAAATGTGTGTATGTTCCATGGGCACAGCCGAGAAACACTACAGATGCAGGAAGAAGAGTAATTCAGGAGCAGAGATCTTGAGAAGGTAAGAGGACAAGGGCTCCAGAGCACAGGTGGAGGCATGTGGTCTTTGCTTTGCACAGGTGGAAAGGCTGGCATTTACCTTGTACAGGTGAGGGGGTGGTTTTTACTTTGCACAAGTGGAGGGTGTAGCCTTTACCTTACTCAGGTGAAGGGAGTGGCATCTACCTGGGACAGGTGGGGGGGTGACATTTACCTGGCACAGGTGGAAGGGGTGATACTTACCTTGCACAGACAGAGGGGGTGACATTTTTCCTTGCACAGGAAGGGGGTGGCAATTACTTTGCTCTGGTGGGAGGTGACATCTACCTAGCAAAGGTGGAGGGTGACATTTATCTTGCACAAGTGAAAGGGGTGGTCTCTAGCTTGCACAGGTGGAGGGGCGGCCTTTACCTTGGAGGAGGGATGGGAGGAGGGGCATGTGTGTCCAGAAGGAGGTGGCGGCTGGTGGTGGGAAGGCCCTGGCTGGCTGCTGGCGTTTGCTCCCTGAGAAATGAGACAGGCGCTGGCAGAGGAGAGGGGGAGGTGAAGAGAGATGAGAAAGCCTGGAAGGGAGGGCGGGTGGCAGACAGGCTGGGGTGGGAGGGCTGCTGGGAAGCGGTGGGCCCTGTCGCGATGTGTGGCCAGAGATGTGCGGGTCCAGTCCTCGCCTGTGTCATCCCTCTTCCCACGCTCAGGAGCTGGGGTGCGAGTGAGTGGAAGGTGGCCCGGGTTGAGGCTTTGCTGGGAGGAGCCAGAGTTGCACGACAGTCACAGATGGTGGGATCTAAGCTGGGCAAGGAGGGACGTGGGGTAGCGGGATAGAGAAAAAGCCGATCAAAGGGCGGCCAGCATCTGTGGTGGCCATGAGTTGGGATGCTATCCTGATACCCTGGCTCTGGCCCAGGGTCCAGCCTCCCTTGGTCACTCAGGGGAGCCGGGTCCCTTCTGGGCCCTCTTCAGAAAAGTGCTGGACCTGGGCTTTCTATCTGCCCCTTAAAGTTGGGGAAAAAAAAATGCCAAGTCTTTCTGTGCGAGGGTGACCCAGTCCGGCGTTCTTCTCTGCAGCTCTGTGGTTTTCTCACATGTGACAGAGGTGGAAACTGAGGCTAGGAGGGATGGCGATGGAGCCAGGGCCAGAGTCTTTGGTCACGACTCTCGTTTCTGTGCCTTTGGGTGGGCGGAAGCACCAGGGGTGCCTGCCCACCCTGCAAGTCAGACCTCCTAGGAGGGGAGGGTGGGTGCAGGCAGAGCGGGGCGCGAGTCCCATCCCTGAGCCCTAAGGGGCGTCCAGACAACCCTTAGAACCCGGCTATTCACGGTTTTCACCTGCGCAGCCATTCCTGACCGCCGAGTCTCTGCCCAGCCCCGGCTCTCATGCCTTTTTTCCTGCTGCAGTGTCACCCCAACAAGTGTCTGGGGCTCTGGGCTCTCTCCTCCGCTGTCTTGCTGGGGCCCCCACCCTGCAGCCATTCGTAGCAGAATGTGGGGAGGGCCTGCAGGGATGGGAAGAATGACAAACGCCAGCGGAGGGGTCCGATCTGCTTGCTGGGAAAAGGACCAGCCCAGCCCCCTCCTCTTCCCGCTCTGGTTCGCACCGGGCTCTCTCTCTCCTCCCTCCTCTGCTTCATATTCTTGTGATTTCCCCTCTTCCCTCCCCTTTCTTTCCCTTCTCTTCCCTTTTCCCTTCTTTTTTTTAACCTTTGGAACACTAAAACTTACAGAAAAGGCTCAAGGGCAGCGATCTTTTTTCCAGAACCATTTGACAGTAGTAGTTGACACGATGTTTCATCATTCCTGGATACGTGAACTTGCGTTTCCAATAGACAAAGACATTCTTCTTAAAGCCACACACAGCCATCAAATCAGGAGATTAGCGCCAAAACGTTACTGTTTTCGAACCCTCAGATCCCACGTGCATTTTGCCAAAGGTCGCAGCGATGTGGGCTATAGCAAAAGGATTCTGTTCAGAATCACATGTTGCGTTTAGTTGCCACAACTAGTTTCCTTTGAGCTAAACCGGGCAGGCTTTCCCCGACTTTCATGGCCTTGCTGCTTTGGGAGATGGCAGTGTTTTGTGGGCTGTCCCTCAGTTTGGACGGTGTGGTGCGGCCTCAGGACTGGATTCAGGTGCTGCCTCTTGGGCGGAGGCTGTGATTGTGGCTTGTTTTGTTACTGATGGCGTTTGCTTAGGTCACTGGGTGAGAGTGACTGCTGGGCT